AGGACTCCAAAAGGCTGTGGCCTGAACTACTACCAGAAGTATTATGGGCATACCACACTACACCAAAAACCAGTACAGGTGAGACGCCATATTCACTAGTCTACGGGACTAACACAGTTATACTCGTCGAGGTCGGAGTGCCTAGTTTGAGATACTCCAACGAGAGCCAAACAATGAAGAAAGTAGGTTACAAGATCTTAATGAAGTCGAAGAACGGAGAGACATAGCCCATATAAGAATGGCAGCCCAAAAACAACAAGTAGAAAGGTACTACAACAAGAAGGCTAAAGTGCAACCGCTCAAGGTCGGAGATCACGTCCTCAAGGTTAAAACACAAGCAGCGAAAGACCCTAATAAGGGAAAACTGGGAACAAACTGGGACAGACCATACAAAATCACGGCGGCAGCAAACAAAGGAGCATTCCAGCTAGAAACAATGGAGGGAAAACTACTCCAAAACAACTGGAATGTCGCCCATCTCAAATACTTCCACTTCTGAAAGGAGGCGCCACCTAAGTGATACTCTTTTTCCCTCATCCAGGTTTTGTCCCAATTGGGTTTTATTATTGAGGTTTTTAATGAGGTAGCTAGGGGGACGTCTCGAGGTTCGAAGTATTGTTCATTACCCCGCCCGTTGACATGATCTTCGGAACGAAGTAATGAAGGGACTGGATATAGATAATCAAATTTCCATTGTATGTACAGAGTCGACATGTGATTCTTACAAAAATATAATTAAATCTCCATTGCATGAATAAAGTCGACATGTGTCTTCCTACGGGAATACGATCAAACCTCCAACGTGAAATGGCCAAGGCCATCGACGAAAATATGAGTTCGACCTCGTTCAAACCACGACGGGATCCTACTTCGATGATAGTTCGAAGCAACTTCCCAATGGCCAAGGCCATCGACGAAAATATGAGTTCGACCTCGTTCGAACCATGACGGGATCCTACTTCGACGACAGTTCGCAGCAACATCCCAATGGCCAAGGCCATCGATGAAAATAAGAGTTCGACCTCGTTCGAACTACGATGGGATATTACTTCGACGACAGTTCGAAGAAACATCCCAATGGCCAAGGCCATCGACGAAAATATGAGCTCGACCTCGTTCAAACTACGACGGGATCCTACTTCGACGACAGTTCGAAGAAACATCCCAATGGCCAAGGCCATCGACGAAAATATGAGCTCGACCTCGTTCAAACTACGACGGGATCCTACTTCGACAATAGTTCGAAGAAACATCCCAATGGCCAAGGCCATCGACAAAAATAGGAGTTCGACCTCATTCGAACTACGACGAGATCCTACTTCGACGTCAGTTCGAAGCAACATCCCAATGGCCAAGGCCATCGGCGAAAATGGGGATCGACCTCGTCCAAAAGCTAAATCGGCTTCACAGCTGGACAGATATCCCGGATACCATACATTGCAAAAAGCACCAACAAATTGATAAAATAAATTCTACATTACATCAAAATGTTATGTACACCTATTCTTACTAACGAGCTAAAGCACTCCCCCTACAAAAGCCCAAAAACAAAAGCAAGTACAAACAAAAGACTACACATCATCCCCAGTAGGGTAAGCATCTTCGTACCAAGAGTCTGAAGCAAGACGGTTCGCATCATCGGAGTTGATGTCATCCCCGTCATGTGTAAGAGGGTCATACCCGTATGCCTCACGAGCTGCACGAGCTTCGGTATGCACGGCCTGAAGTTCCATTTCAGTTTCCCTCTCCTCGGTGTGGAAAGCCTTGTACGCATCAAGCCGAGCCTCAGAAAGGGCCCATAACTCATATAAACGATGAGGCACGACCGGATCGGTTGAGGCACGACACGTAGAAGGCTGAGAGCGTCGACTTGCATCCTCCACTCTTAGTGAGGCTACTTGTCCATTCAACACAGATAGCTCTGCCTCCAACTTTTTAACACGCCCTTCAAGCCTCGCGACCTTAAGATTAGAGGCGCCCTTCTCCTCAGTCAGCTTCGACCTACAAACACGGAGGGCATTCTCCAAAGATGCAGTTCCAGAAATAGCTGCCGCCAACTTATCAACACCGACGTCCAGCTTGACCTTAAGCCCCTTAACCTCCACCGCCTTCGCACTCAATTCAGCGGTCAAACTGGCCACCTTTGCTTGTAAGTCGACATTCTCAACCATCACCTCCTTACTCAACTCAAGCTCGTCCTCCTTCACCTTAAGGACCTTCTTTTTCTCGATAATGGCTCGTCATCGTTGGAGGATTCGTCCAAGAGGTATGGGGTCGGAACTGAAAAAGTCTCCTCCCTCATGAACACGACCCGAGAGGGACCTTTTAATTGAATAGGTTGAAGATGAACCTCTTGAATAGACTCACTCAAAATAAACTGTGTGTCCGCGGCGGCAACGACCTTTCGGAATGCAGGGACTGACGCCCTCTGTCTCTCCTCGACCTATCATCACGAAGGGTCATATAAATAAACAACGTCATATAGCCAATGAAGTGTAGGGAAAACATTTACCAGATGGAACTTTAGGGCCATAATGCTTTACGAAGGCGGGGCAATCTCGGGTTTCCGCTGCATGGGGCAACAAACGGGCTACCCAATCCCTTATGCCCACAATAGGGTGAGGCGGACGTCCCAGAGCTGCAAACGAGAAGCAAACAAACTTTATAATGAATACAGACGAAGGAAGAGTAAAACGAGTGGCGACACTTACGAGTCTCATTCCATTGCTCCGGGAACCTGGCGGAATCAGAAACGATGTGTTCGGTTTTGACAAAGAAGTACCTGTGCCAAAACTTGCGACTTGCCCGGTCGTCTGTCCCGACCACCAGCACTGTGGTCGTCTGTCCCGACCACAGTGCCTTAAATGCACCATGGTACCCCTATGGAAGCTAGGCGAGAACATGTGCAAAAGGTGGTGGATAGAAACGTCACATTCCGCCAACTCCGCATACTTGGCCAACAACAGAAGTATCTTAAGCGTATACGGCGAAAGTTGCCAGGTAAACTTGGTAGAACCTACAAAATTCTTCCGCTAATGGGAAGAGAGGAAAAGTATAGCCAATCACGAAAGGGTACTCATAGAAAGCGCAGTACCCCGGTCTGTGGACCTCTACAAAATCTCTCCATGCCGGAACCATGTCAACATGAGCGGGAATGCAATACTTTACACGAAGAGCGTCAATATGGACTTGCTCTATCTCATAGAGTACGGAGGTAGGAGTAGAAGGGGGGTCTTTGAGGAAGTCACTTCGAGACATGGGGTGTCTCGGTAGTAACTCCTCCACCGTAGGAAGGCTGTCACTCTCTTCTACCACTATATCTTCACCGCCCAAATGGGGCACCATGGACAATGGGGCGACTTCAGGAATCCCTTCACGAGATCGGTGCGACCTTGGCATGTTTTCGTTAAAAGAGAAAAGGGGTGTTGACACAGAAGAAACAAGGGAGGAAGATGAAGTTATGAACGAAGAATGTGAGAAGAAGAAGTAGAAGATTGTCAGTACTAGCTCGGAGAAATAAGGAGGGGTATTCAGAAGTGAAATGGCCAAGAACTTTCGAAAAAATAAACCCTCTACCTATTTATAGGATTGGGTGGCGCCAGAATCGAAGCGGAAGGCCACAGAGTGGCACCAAAATCGAAGCAACAAGCCATCAACTCCTTCCTCGAAAACACGCGTTATGATGACGCACGTGAAGATGACATCATTTCCCTATAAAATGCATAACCTGGTATCTTGCTAAGCACGCTGACCGCCCATCATTGGCCATGTCATAACGCTTCGAAGGATCAAATTTTTCCGTAGAAACGCACAGTGTCCGCTCATCAAGGACGCACCAAGTTGCAACCTCGACAAGCGGAGAGACTAACTATATGGGTCCAAATTTGAACAACCACGACCTTCGACGAGTACGACGAACGACAAGGTCCCCGTAACCTGACGTCCTGCGGAGGACAACCTTAAGACAAACAAGAGATTGTACGACCCTTGTAATAATATAAGCCCATTAGAGGATACTAAAATCTGTCTTTTACAACTTAGTAGGGTTTCATTCCCTATATAAATAGCGAACAATAACTTTGTAAGAGCACTTCTTGGTTGATTCATAATACTTGCTATAAATTTACTTACATAAATGCGTGAGAAGATTATTGTAGAGGCTTTGTTGATCCAGATTAAAAAAGAAGTCTTATTATCCTTTATCCATCTTTCGTTCTAGAGATTAGTATACTTAGCTAAGATTTACCCTTTATTTTTGATTGATTTGTTCAAAAAGGTTTCGATATTTTTGAGTCAAAGGGGTTGGTGAAAATGCTGAACAATAGCAATTTTACTATCAGATTTCCCTTATTCACAATACTGTAGTAATTATTGATTCTTGAATTTTGTGAATAAACTTTATTATTTCCCTCTCATTTCATGGATAACATAGGAATAAAGTTTACATGTTGTGCTAAGCATAGTGCCATCTTATCCATATATACAAATTGTAATTTCGTAGTATTTTTGTGTAATTTCCAAATGAAGATTATATTTTTTTAAAAATTGAGAAGTCATCTTCAAACTTACACCAGAATGTTAGATGTTTTTAATTATCTTTTTATATTCTTTTTTTGAGAATTGAGACGGAGAAAGTACTAAGTATCAAACTAATTTACTAAATAGAAAAAATTAATGCTACCCATATGCAGAATAATGGTGAGTTATTGATAAAGGATATAGTAAAAATATCACATTATCATTTGCATATTTTCTGTCTTTCAAAGTAAGGTAAGTCTTTTTTATTCATTGACCAATTTTTTTTTTTAAAAAAAAATTCTTTCTTCTCTAAATTATTTATCATGTAAACCACGCAAGATGATGAAAGATAGTTCTAATATTCAACGGTTCACGCTGTTTAGTACTTTAAAAAAAAAAAGAAGATTATTCCTGAAACAATTTGTTTATTAATGAAGGTATTCATGCAATTAATAGCTGTCATATATGTCTATATATTGGAAGGTATTCTGATGTTGCATTGCACACCAAAGAAGAGAAAAGAATAGAAGAGAGACTTTGAAGATGGAAGCTGCAAACAACTACTCTAATGGGCCCCTCTTTACTCCTTACAAACTGGGGAAATTTGACCTCTCTCATAGGTCAGTACGATCCACCTCAATTTCTTTGAACAATTTTTAGCCTAGCTAGTAATTGAACATAATAAATAGAACTGTTGAATAAATGTATTGCAGAATAGTATTTCCAGCACTAACGAGGAACAGGGCACACAAAAATATACCACAGCAGCCACATGCTACTGAATATTATGCTCAAAGAGCTACTAATGGAGGTCTTCTCATTTCTGAAGCTGCTGCTGCATCCGATATTTCTCAAGGGTAAATTAATTACTCCCTTGGCTGAACAGAGGCGTATGTAGTGTTATAGAACTGGGTTCATTTAAACTCAATACTTTCGACACAGAGTATAAATTTACTGTAAAATTCAATAAAATTATAACACGTTAATGTGGGCCTGAACTCATAACTTTAAAAATATGATAGGCTAAGAACCTTAAAGGCTGAACCCACATAGTTTAAATTCTTGATCCGCCTCTGCGGCTTGGCATGTGATGTGATTGATAATAATATTTCAGCATTGTTAATAAAGGTGCCCAAACATGCCTGGAATATGGAATGAGGAGCAAGTGGAAGCATGGAAACCTGTAGTGGAAGGTGTTCATGAGAAAGGAGGTGTCTTCTTTTGTCAAATTTGGCATTCAGGCCGCTTGTTTGTCCCTACTCTTAGTGCATTATATTTCTCGATCGGCGTTGGATTTTCCTTGACAAGTAAGAGTTTACAATTTTATAGCGGATAAACATAAAAACAAAGCATGCAGTCAAAGATTTATGATATAATTTCTAATGCACATCTCTCAAGTATATGCGGTTTCTGTCTTATTTTTTACGTGCAGGACCTGATGAACAAGTTTATGAGAAACCAACACCTCGTCGTTTGAAATCTGATGAAGTCCCTGGAATTGTCAATGATTTCAGGATCGCAGCCCGTAATGCCATTAAAGCTGGTAATAATTATATTTTACGATCAATCCCCCTTTGATAACTGATCAACTGTATGGGATTTAATTTTTACTATTCACAAGTTTGACGATGAAATCCAAACATTATAATGAAGATTGAGAAGTAGCTTAACTAGTTTCCCATGATAATAAAGGATTTGATGGAGTTGAGATCAACGCTTCAGATGGCGGCTACCTGATTGACGAATTTATGAATGATAGGAAAAGTATTGAGGACTGTTGTCGACTTGCCCTGGAAATAGTACAAGCAGTGGCAAACGAAATCGGAGCTGATAAAGTTGGTATAAAACTGTCTCCTTTTTCAGATTGTGATGGCAAAAAGGACTCAAATTCAGAAAGACTGGCAACTTACCTGGCGAATGCACTAAGCAAACTAGGTGTTCTCTATCTTCATGTGGTTGAGCCAAGAGAAGCAGCTAAGGGTCTTCTTCCTATTAGGAAAGCTTTTCAGGGGACACTTATCGCTTCTGGTGGTTATAATAAATTTGATGGGGACAACGCGATAGAGGAGAATTATGCAGATTTGATCTCATTTGGACGTATGTTCTTGGCAAATCCAGATTTACCAAAGCGTTTTGAGGTTAATGCTCCACTTAACAAGTACAATAGGAGCACATTCTACACTAATGATCCACTTATTGGTTATACTGACTACCCATCTCTTCAAGTTGCTTCCTAATTATTCACACGGTTATGGGAAAAGGATCACGGATTGGAGCTGTGTCTATCTTGTTATAAGCATTGTGTTGTAATAAATAAGTTCACATGGTTAATTGTGGAAAGAATCATGTAGGATTGTGTGTACCTTGATGAAAACGCAGTATGATCTGTTGTTTTGAAATTGAGGTTTTATTTCTAAGTTTGACATTTAAGAGTTCAATAATTCTTTCTTGTTCAGCACTAATTACTTTATCTTAATCAAAAACTCTTGTAGTTATGGTTTAAGATTAATAGTACATATTTTAAATCCAACATGAATTATCTCATCAAAGGCAGACCCTTATGCTGCCAAGCGCGGACCCCTTTACGTTGGAAACTCCGTTCGTAAATACGGTCCAAACTCCCGCTGTCGATTCTGACACCATCACTGCTTCTTTGGTCGCTAGAGGCAGCAGTCCCGGACTGAAATCAGCCACAATATCGGCCAAACTTGTGACTTAATCACAGCCCTCAGTTTATATTCTATATCAAATTCACTTATCTTGACGGCCCATTTGGCCAATCTACCCGAGAGTTCGGGTTTATGGAGGATATTCCACAGGGAAAAGGTGGTCACCACAACTATCGGGTGACATTGGAAGTACGGCTTCAACTTCCGAGCGGCGACTACGAAAGCTAAGGCCAACTTCTCCAAATGCGGGTAACGAGTTTATGCTCCCGCTAAAATTCTACTAACGTAATAAATGGGGGATTATATACCTTCGTCCTCACGGACTAAAACGGTGCTTACCGCTACCTTCCAGACTGCGAGGTAAACTAGCAGTGTTTTACCTTCCTTCGGTTTTGATAGTAACGGAGGGCTAGACAAGTACCTTTTCAAAACTCTCAAAGCCTGCTATCATTCCGAGGTCCATTTGAAGTTGTTTTCTTTTTGAGCAGCACAAAGAAACGGTGGCATTTCTCTTATTATGACCGGGAAATAAACCTACTCAATCGGCCAATCTCCCTGTAAGCATTTGAACTTCTTTCACACTTGATAGTTGGTCGGGGATGTCTTTGATGGCTTTGATCTTATCGAGGTTTACTTCAATCCCCCATTGTGATACCAGAAATTTTAAGAACTTGTCGGAGCTGACCCCGAATGCGCACTTCTTGATGTTAAGTTTCACATTATGCTTCCTCAGGATGTCAAAAGTTTCTTGCAAATGCTTAAGATGATCACCTGTGTTCAAAGACTTAATAAGCATATTGTCTATATAGGCTTCCATCGTTTTCCTTATTTGTTTTTCAAACATCTTGTTTACGAGTCGTTGATAAGTGGTTCCGGCATTCTTTATCCCGAAGGGCATCACATGATAGCAATATGTGCCGAAATTCATTATGAACGAAATCTTTTCCTGATCTTCCGGGTTCATCTTAATTTGGTTGTACTCGGAATAAGCATCGAGGAAACCCATTAACTCGTGCCCGACTGTTGTATCAATCATTTGATCGATACTTGGCAGTGGGAATGAGTCTTTTGGTCACACCTTTATTCATGTCGTTATAATCTACACACATGCGAAATTTATTGTTCTTCTAAGGAACTACTACTACTACATTCGCTAGCCAGTCTGGATACTTTACCTCTCGGATTGAACCGATATCAAGTAGGCGAGTTATCTCTTCTTTGATGAATTTATTCCTGGCCTTCGCAATAGGGCATTTCTTTTGTCTTACCGGAAGGATGTTGGGATCCAAGCTTAGCTTGTGTATGGCCAATTCCGTTGGGATACCTATCATATCCGCATGTAACCATGCAAAACAATCGGCATTATATTTAAGAAATTCAATAAAGTCAGACCTGAGCTCGGGGTGTAGTCCTGTCCCCAAGTGAGATTTCCTCTCTAAGAACTTTTCAAACAATGCAACTTGATCGAGCTCTTCTGCGGTGGATTTTTTTGCATTCGTCTCTTCTGGTACCTGGAAATATCTCGGCACCTAATAAGATTTAGGCATTTTTTCCCCTGGCTAACTTCAATCGGTTCGGGTGCAAGAGTCGGTTCTTGTAATTACTATGCCACCTGCTCCTTTCCTTTGCTACCGGAGACCAAAATTGCATTCATCTCCCTTGATGTCAGTTATTCACCTCTTATCTGCTTGATTCCTTCGGGTGTTGGGAATTTCAGCAACTGATGATACGTTGATGGTATGGCTCTCATCTCGTGCAACCACGGTTTTCCTAGAAAAATGTTATAACCTATATCACTGTTCGCAACTTGAAAAAGAGTCGTCTTCATCATCTCTTCGGCGTTCGTGGGCAGCAGGATCTCTCCTCGGGTTGTCAAACTTGCGAGGTTGAATCCGACAGGAGTTTTGTAGCCGAAATGATGCTTCGAGTGAGTTTGGCTTGCTCCAATACCCTTCATTATATGATATTGGCTGAACTTCTTGGATCCACCAGAACATGTTTGATTTTAAGATCTAATAAATTTACAAAAATTACCAAAGCATCATTGTGCAGTAGCAACAGTCCATCTGTGTCCTCCTCCATGAAAGTGATGTCATCTTCAGGGACTTCCCAGAGTCTCTTGCTATGGGTTATTGATACTTTCGTCTTTTTTGCTGCCGAGAAGGTGAACCCATTCATCTCGTTCCCCCTGAAGATCATGTTGATCATCTGGCGTGGGGGATATTTTCCTGCTTTCAAGGGTTTCGTGTTACCATGGTTGCGACCGTAATTATTCTTGGCCCGGTCACTTAAGAATTCTCCTAAGATGGCCATTTTTCAATAGTGTCGCCACTTCTTCACACAAATGTTAGCAGTCCCCATTCTGGGGGCCATTCGTCCCGTGGTACTCGCACCGCAAATTTGGATCCCACTAGCTGGGATCGGACCTCATCGGTTTCGGGAACCAAGATTCTTTAATGTTTCTCATAGCTGATACCAATTCCACAACACTAACGTTGAAATTGTATTCTGATAGCCTAGGGTAGGAAAGATCCTGTGTACCTAATGTTTCTTTGTCCTGCAATGGCCTATTGTTCCGACCGCGATCAATTCTTCTGTCGATAGAGAACCTATGTGCCAATTGGAAACTTCTGTTGCGTCCTTCGGCCCGTTCATAGGGCAAAAATCGGCCCCTCGAAGATCGTCTATATGTGTCAAAATTGTCTTTTGATTTTTGTTTATTCTTCTCCCGTCCCTTTGCCGACAACGGGAAGCCAATCTGATCATCTTTAATCCTTATCTTAGACTCGTACAGGTTATGGACATCTAGCCAAGTCATCGCTTGGAACTCAAGGAAGCTTTCCTTCAATTTACAGGAAGTGTATAAACTTCTCGGATTCAGACCATATGATTCAGCCGCCCATTCATTCGGAACAGCCAGGAGCAAAATCCTCTCCTTCTAGAACCGGGTGACGAACTCTCGCAGCAACTCGGACTCCCCTTGTGTAATTCTGAATATGTTGGCCTTCCGGACCTATACCTTTCTGACCCCGACATGGGCCTTAATAAAAGAGTCTGCGAGCATTTCAAAGGAATCAATGGAATGCTCGGGTAATAGCAAAAACCATGTCAAGGCTCCTCTCGTGAGAGTCTCTCCAAATTTCTTCAACAAAACAGATTCAATATTATGTAGAGCTAAATCATTCACCTTCACCGCCGTTGTATAAGTAGTAATATGCTCCTGAAGGTCTGAAGTTCCATCATACTTCAGCACCTCGGGCATTTTAAACCGCTTTTTGGGATTAATTCTTGTACGGAAACTGAGTATACTTATTTGAGTATGGCCCTTTCAGCACCGGTGGTGCACCCGAGATTTGATCCATGCGGGCATTTACTTTCTTTATAAAACGTAAGAGTTCGCTCTTAAAGGGATCACTCTCGTTGTTGGGACAGGATCTGCTACCCCCAGCCCTATTGGAGCCAACCTCGCCCCTCGGGGTGCTGTTGTCGACTCTCTGTGTTATTTGATTTGCAGGAGTGCCAGGAAGAACTAGACCTTGTCTATTCGCATTATTAGAAGCCCCCGATAACGCCTGCTTCAAATCTATCATAACCTTATCTTGCCATGTGAGGTGGCCAAGAATGATCGCTTGTTGTTCTTGCAGGACCCTTACCGCATCAACAACATGCTCCTCTTCAGCATCATCGGGAGTCGCATCCCGAACATGTTGCGGGTACCACCTATCGTGGATCGGCATAGCATCGTTCCCCTCATTGTGGGTGTCACTGACTAAATCCTCGTGATGATGCTAGTCTCCTTGAGCCTCAAGATTGTGTGTGTTGTTAACACCATTATCTGCCATTTTTTGTGAATTTTTACTAAGACAAATAATCAAAACACGTTAGTAAAAGAAGAAAGGATCAACTTAATTACATAGCTGTCTAGGCACCACGGTGGGCGCCAAATTGTTTACCCGTAAAATGGTACAGTTGAATTTATACGTGGTTTCTAGACAAGTGAATTAATTTGATCCTGAAATAATAAAATAATTGAAGGAATATGCAATATTTAGCCTTGAAATGAAGACAAAATAACACAAATAATAATTCCGGAGCAGGGCTTCCGGGCACAACAACGAATCAAAGAGTAAGAAGATAAAGCTTTGAATTGATTATAATATAAGTTTGCTAGAAAATTTGTGTCATTTACAATAATAACTGAGTTCACTATTTATAGTTGCTCCTAGGGAACAAGGTCCTAGGATCATGCCCTTCTTTAGTGTCAATTATGAGGGTCATTGAAGAATGTGTAACGGTAAGCATAAATGATAAATCCTTTGTAACAGGCAGTGTACTAAATGCTGTGAAATATTCTTCATTAAATGCTACCGGGTGGCAGGCATCTATTGCGTCTTTATGAACGTCATTCCTTCCGGTGAAAAACGGAACGGTTATCTTCGGTTTTAACTATCATCTGCCTTCGGCTCCACGTGTCACTCTCTTATGCAGCCACTTAACATAGCATATTTTCCCTTATACACTTCCAAGAGAACATTAGGAGGAATATGCAGACGTGCCATCTATTTTTGCACCGTAAAAAGGGTCATACATGTCGATTTGGAGACAACAACCAGTTTTGTATATGTAGGGGTGGTAAAAGGGCGGGCCGTGTCGGATATAGGCGGAAAAAAATAGGCAATGTAAAAATGGATAAATTATCCGATCCGATTCATATTTAATACAGATAGAAAATGGGTTAACCGGTGGATAATATGGATCCATATTATTTATGG